GGGGGGAGGAGGAAATGATTCATGCGCTAGAGGGTAGAAACACGCTGAAACAGGTGACAGACAAGGCAGGCAATATAAAACCAGAAATGATGGGGGTGGCGAGACACAGGAAAAAATGCAGTGGTTAAATTAAGTAGAGATAAATGCTGTTAACTGTTGGTGCATGGAGGGGACTGCAACCAAGTAAATAAGCAAAGTATATGATTTGTTGAATATAAAACTAAGATCTGCTCTGTAAACCTTCACTCAATTCACAATAAAAAGTTTAAAAAAAAAAAAAAAGGAACACATAAACATCAATATCCTAGGCATTAGTGAGCTGAAATACATTAGCATTGGCCATTTTGAACCAACAATCACTTGGTTTACTATGCCAGGAATGACAAATTGAAAAGGAATGGTGTTGCATTCATCATCAAAAAGAACCTATCAAGGTCTCCCTTGAAGTACAATACTGCCTCTTATAGGATATTATCCATATGTCTACAAGGAAGGCCAATTAATACCACTATTATTCAACTTTACACACCAACCACTAAAGCCAGTGTGGGCTAATGCATTGCAAAGTCAGTTTGAACCGCAAGGTCCATAGTTCAAGCTCACGAGCCGCTCCTCGGAAATTCTATACAGGGTCGCTATGGGTCAGAACTGACTCAACAGCACTCAACAACAACAACCAACTTCTTCAGTCTGAAATTGATTAAACATGCAATTTCAATGTCATTACTGGGAACTGAAATGTAGAGGTTAGGAACAAAGACGAAGGATCAGTATTTGTAAAATATGGCCTTGGTGATAAAAATGATGCTATAATTTTGCAAGACCAAAGACTTGATTCCAAATACCATTTTAAAACAACATAAAAGGTGATTATTTACATGGACCTAACCAGGTGGAGTACACAGGAATAAAACTGACTACATCTGTGAAAAAAAAATGGTGGAAAAGCTCCAAATCGTCAACCCAAACAAGCCAGCGACAAACTGTGAAACAGATCATCAGTTGCTCATATGTAAATTCGGGCTGAAGCTGAAGAAAATTAAAATTTTGACTCACAGGAGCTAAAATATGATTTTGAAAATATCCCAGCTGAATTTACAGATGATCTCAAGAATGTATTTGATGCATGAGATACTACAAATGAAGACCAGAAGAGTTGTGGGTTGACATCAAGAGCATTATACAGGAAGAAAGCAAAAAGTCATTAAGAAGACATTAAAGAAAAAAAGAGACAAAAATGGATGTCAGAAGAGACTCTGAAACGTGTGCTTCAACATACAGATGCTAAAGCAAATGGAAGAAATTAGGAGATAAAACAGCTGAACAGAAAATCTCAAAAGTCAGCTCAAGAAGACAAAGTCAATAATTATAACAAAACGTGCAAAGATCTGGTGTTAGAAAACAAAAAGGGAAGAGCACACTGCATTTGCATGCTGAAGAAACTGAAGAAAAAATTCAAGCTTCAACTTGAAATATTTAAGGATTCTACGGGCAAAACACTGAATGGTGCAGAAAGCATCAAAAGAACATGGAGGGAATCCACAGAGTCACTGTGCCAAAAAGAAATGGTTGATGTTCAACCATTTCAAAAGGCAGTGCCAATGATTAAGAGACAATAGTATTACACAGAAGAAGTCCAAGGTGCATTGAAGACACTGCAAAGAAAAAGTCTGTGGGAATTGGTGGAATACAAATCGAAATCTTTCCATAACCTGATATGATACTCAATCTATGCCAAGAAATTTGGAAGACAAATACCTGGCCAACTGACGGGAACAGATCCATTATTTGTGCCCATTCCAAAAAGAGGTGACCCAACGAAATGCAGAAATCATCAGACTATTACCTTTAATATTACATGCAAGAAACATTTTACTAAAGATAGTACAAAAATGGCAGCAAGTATACATTGACAGAGAAATTCCAGAGGATCGTGTCGGATTCAGAGGAGGAAGAGGAATGAGGGACATCATATGGATCTTGGCTGAAAGCATAGAATACCAGAAAGATGTTTACCTGTGCTTTTTTGACTACACAAAGGCTGATGGTGTGGAACAAGAAAAGCTATGGGCAGGATAGCAGAAACTGAGTATGTAACAGTTAACTGTGCTCATGAGAAACCTGTACGCAGACCAAAAGGCAGTTGTTCAAACAGAACAAGAGAACACCAAATGGTTTAAAATAAGGAAAGGTGTGTGTCAAGGTTGCAGTCTTTCACCATATTTATTCTGTACACGGAGCACATAATCCGAGAAGGTGGATTATATGAAGAAAATCATGACATCAAGATTGGAGTTAAGACTTATTAATAACCTTCAATATGCAGATGATACAACCTTACTAGTTGAAAGTGGTGGTGGTGGTGGTAATGTGTCATGGAGTAGATTCCGACTCACAGCGACCCTGTACAGGGTTTCCAAGACTGTGAATCTTTACGGGAGCAGAAAGCCTTATCTTTCTCCCACAGGCAGCTGGTAGTTTCAAACTGCTGTCCTTGAAGTTAGCAGCCCGACTCGTAACCACTATGCTACAAGAGCAAGTTCTTGGTTGAAAGTGAAGAGGACTTAAATACTTACTGATGAAGATCAAACACCACAGTTTGGCTTACACCTCAATGTACAGGAAATTTTTAAAAACCATGTACAGGAAATATTGGTCCTCAATGGACCAATAGATGGACAGAAAAGATTGAAGTAATCAAAAACTCCATTTTGCTAAGCTCAGCCATCTATAGTCATAGAAATGGCAGTCAAGAAATCAAACGACATATTGCATTTGGCAAATCTGTTGCACAAGAACTCTTTAATGTGTTCAAGAACAAATATTAAGTTTAGGATAAAGATGTGCCTGACCCAAGCCACGGTATTTTCAATAAACTCCTATGTAGTTGAAAGTTGGACACTGAATAATGAAGACAGTAGAAGAATCCCTCGGTCATGCTCTGTGGAGGAAAAAGGACATCATGCTTAATAAAGTGCAGAGTCAGTAAAAAAGAGGAAGACCACCCATCAATGAGATGGGCTGACACAGAGCCAGGAACAATGGGTTCAAACATAACAACAGTTGTGAGGATGGCATAGGACTTGGCAGTGTTTAGTTTTGTTGTGCATAAGAACAACATTTAACAGCAACAACATGATCAAATACTATGACCTTGTTAATGTAATGCTTTAATTTATTAATGTAAATTGGTTATGAGTTTGAGTAAACACTTAACTTCCTATAACATTTGATAAAATACTCTCTTATAGAAAACTCCATGCATGGCAAAGAAAATTCTGAACACCTGTTAAACATCAGTGTACATGACTTAGTGTAGAGAAAAAATTTTCTTTACAATGGAATTATTTTTCTAAATGTGAAAAGAAAAGCTTCACCTTTTTCTTCAGGTTTTGTTGGAAAATATTTCTTCTCTGGAGCTATCAGATCAGGCTTTGGAGCTACGGGAAAAAACACATATTTTTTATACAACTACTACACAGGAAAGTTTAGTTTTAAAATCACATCAGATAACCACATGTCTTAATACAAAGAACACCATACCAAATTCAGTGTATTCATGTTCTAATCTTGGACCAGCCACCTATGGTCTTAAGTAAACATTTTGTTTTCCATTCCCTTGTCATATTGCTCTACAGCAGTGACATCCAGCACAATGTTCTGTGGTGATGGAAATATTTTATCTATTGTCCAATACTGACTAACAACTTGACATGTGTTTTCAGTGACTGAAAAATAAAAAATTTTCAGTCTATTAAATTTGAACTAATTTCAAAAGACCCATGTGGCCAGTGGCTACCATAATAAGCAGTTAAGCTTTACAATAATTCCCTAATGCTAACTCTTATAAATTACTTTTAATTTATGCTTTTCTTGTTTAGGATTACATCATCAAATACAAAGGTAAAACCAGGGGAAAAGAAAGTTGAAATATTCTAAAGAGTAGACAATCTCACAAGAAATAAAAATATGATACTGTACTTATAACTGTGAAAGGCACATCTAGGTTTACCATAATTCATTAAACTGTAAAGCTACACAAAGTAACTCTTTCAAGATTACTTAATTCTTAATATATTATCTCAAGAAAACATACTTATTAATATATGCATAAAAAATTAACAAATGGATTGATCTAAAAAGGTAGAGTAATGAATTTTCTAGGTCAATATACTGAGCTTATTAAACCAGGCTTAATATCTTATTTTAAATAATATAATAAATTTTATTGAATGAAAATTAAATATGAATTAAAATATCCTAATAATGATCAAGAATGCTATTTTATGCCATTTGTAATTTTTAGAAATCAGATATATTTTATATTTTTTGAAAACTTTCATAAGGCAAATATTAGTTGTGCTTGGAAATAAATTTTTTTTTTTAATTGCATTCAATTTCATCACTTCAGTATTGTAAAACATGTAAAAAAGCAACGAGAATTGTTTCTTACATACCTGGACCCTTAGCAGGCGGTGGTGGTTTCTTTGGTTTCTGTTAAAATTACAATGGTTGAACAGTTATATATTAAATATTTATAGATAAAATCAATTCTGCTCTTAGTATCTCCAAAACAGGTCACTGACAAAAAATTATTCCATTAGGACAAATGCCTCCTTGATCAAACTTCAGTCAAATATTTCAAAACTTATCAGTGGGTTGGATAAATCTAAAGAAACCTCTTCCACTGTGGGTCAGGTATTGTGTTGATAGCCAAAAGGTGAGCAGTTCAAACCCACTAGTTGCTCAGCGGGAGAAAGCTGAGGCTGTCAGCTCACCAACAGACTGTCTCAGAACCCTTATATGATGTCACTCGGAATCAGCGTCAATCTGAAGACAGTAGAGTTGTTTTTAATAAAGGCCATTTTAAGGCCACCATTTGTCTGTCAGTATGTCACACTATGGTGGCTTTTGTTTTGCTGTGATGCTAAAAGCTATGCCACTGATATTTTTTAAAGGCACTCAAGATTGGCCTGGGGAAGAACTGCCTCTTCAAAGTAGAGTTGACCTTAGTAAAGCAATGTAGCAAAGCTTCATTTACTGATGGAGCACAACACAATATGAAAAGAAACAGCTACAAACATCTATTAATAATCAGAACATAGAATGTATGAAGTACGGATCTAGGAAAATTGGAAGTCATCAAAAATGAAATGGAATGCATATCCTAAGCATCAGTGAGCTAAAATGGACTGGTATTGACCACTTTGAATCTGACAATCATATTGTTTTGTATATTGGGAATAACAAATTAAAGAGGAAGGGCATTGCATTAATTGTCAACAAGAGCATTCCAAGATCTATTTTAAAGCATAATACTGTCTGTGACAGGATAATATCCATATGCCTGCTAACCGCAAGGTCAGTGGTCCAAAGCCAGTAGTCATTCTTTGGAAACCCTATAACAGGGTTGTTATGAGTCTGGAACCTACTCAATGGCACTAACAACAACAAAAAGGAAGACCAGTTAATACCAAATTTATGCACCAAGTACTGGTTAATAATGATGAAACTGAAGGGTTCTACCAACTTCTTCAGTCTGAAACTGATCAAACATGCACTAATGTACTGATAATTACTGGTAAATGGAATACCAAAGTGGGAAACAAAAAAGAAGGATCAGTAGTTGGAAAATACGGTCTCGGTGACAGAAACAGTACTAGAGATGCAGTGATAGAATTTTGAAAGACTAATTAATAACTTATTCATTGTTATCTTTTTCTCAACAACATAAATGGTGACAATATAAGTGAATCTAACCCGAAAGAATACACAGGAATCAAACTCACTAAACAGGTGAGAAACAATGATGTACATTACCAGCCAAAAAAGGTCAGAGGCCCAAATGTGGAACAGACCATTAATTGATCATATGCAAGTTCAGGCTGAAGATGGATAAAATTAAAAACAAGAGAGCTAAAATATGAATTTGAGTATATCTCACCTGAATTTAGAGACCATCTTAAGAAGAGATTCGATGCATTAGACAACAATGAACAAATACCAGGAGCTATGTATGATGGGATGACATCAAACATGAAGACAGTTGTTGTTGTTGTTAAGTGCCATCGAGTCGGGTCCGACCCATAGCGACCCTGTACAGGGTTCCCGAGGGTGTAAATCTTTACGGGAGTAGAAAGCCTCATCTTTCTCCCGCGGTTCGAAACTACCAGCCTGATTCGTAACCACTACGCTACCAGCGCTCCTTACATGAAGACAGTATAAGGTCATTAAAAAGACATGAAAGACAGAAAAGACCAAAATCAGTATGAAAGGAAACTCTGAGACTTGTGCTAGACTATAGAGAAGCTAAAACAACTACAAGCAATGAGGAAATAAAAGAGCTTAACATAAAACTTCAAAGGGCAGCTTGAGAAGACAAAGTCAAATATTATAAAGAAATGTGTAAACATCTGGAGTCAGAAAACCAAAAAGAAAGAACATGCTCAACATTTCTCATGCTGAGATACTGAAGAAAAAATTCAAGCCTCGGGTTGTTACACTGAACATTCTAGGTAAAATATTTAAAGATGCATGAAGCATCAAAAGAAGATGCAAGGAATATAGACAGTCACTGTACCAAAAAGAAATGGTTTTTATGTTTACAAGAGGTAGCATATGGTCAAGAATTGAAGAAAGAAGTTCAACTAGTACTAAAAGAACTGGTAGAAAACAAGGATGCAGGAAATGACAGAATACAAACTGAAATGTTTTAACAAACTGATGCAGAATTGGACTGCAGGTTTACTCATCTACATCTAGAAATTTGAAACACAGCTACCTGGCTAACTGATTGGAGGAGGTTTACACGTCTAGTCATTCAAACAGAACAAGAGGAGACTGAACGCTTTAAAATCAGGAAAGATATGCAACCAGGTTGCATGCTTACAGCACACTTATTTCACTTGAAATACTTATTGATGAAGATCAAACACCACACTCTTCAGTATGGATTGCACCTCAATGTAAAGAAAACAAAAATCCTCATAACTGGACCAATAAACAACATCATGATAAAGAAAAAAGATTAAAGTTGTCAAGGAATTAATTTTGCTTAGATCCACAATCAATACTCATGAGAGTAGTAGTCAAGAAACCAAATGATTACATTAGGCAAATCTGTTGCACAAGACCTCTTTAAAGTGTTTTTAAAAAAAAGATGTCAGTTTGATGACTAAGGTGCTCCTGACCCAAGCCATGGTATTTGCAAGAGCCACTGGTGTGGTGCTGTAAGATCAGCACTGGACTGTGAACCACAGGCTCAGAAGGCCAAACCCACCAGCTGCTCCTTGGAAACCCTATCCAGGGTTGTTATGAGTTGGAGTTGACTCAAGGCACTTAACAACAACATATGCCTATGAAGTAGGACAATGAATATGGAAGACCTTAGAAGAACTGATTAAATTGAATTGTGTTGCTGGTTAAAAATAATGAAAGTATCAGAATCTGCGGGCTGCGCTGCACCTTGGCTGGTCGCCGAGGGGGGAGGGGATATCGGTCAGTGCGAGATCCACTGCTGCTGAGGAGAGGAGCATCAACAGCAGCAGCACCATGGCTCAACAGAAGAATCTTGAAGGCTATGTGGGATTTGCAAATCTCCCAAATCAAGCATACAGAAAATCAGTGAAGAAGAGGGTTTGAATTCACACTTATAGGAGTAGGTGAATCTGGATTGGGAAAGTCAACATTAATCAACTCATTATTCCTCACTGATTTATATTCTCCAGAGTATCCAGGTCCATCCCATAGGATAAAAAAGACTGCACAGGTGGAGCAATCCAAAGTTTTAATCAGAGAAGGTGGAGTTCAGTTACTGCTCACAATAGTTGATACCCCAGGATTTGGAGATGCTGTGGATAATAGTAATTGCTGGCAGCCTGTTATCGATTACATTGATAGTAAATTTTAGGACTACCTAAATGCAGAATCTTGTGTGAACAGACGTCAGATGCTGAACAATAGAGTGCAGTGTTGTTTATACTTCATTGCTCCCTCAGGACATGGACTTAAACCACTAGATATTGAGTTTATGAAGCGTTTACATGAAAAAGTGAATATCATCCCCCTTATTGCCAAAGCAGACACACTCACACCAGAGGAGTGCCAACAGTTTAAAAAACAGATAATGAAAGAAATTCAAGAACATACCATTAAAATATATGAATTTCCAGAAACAGATGATAAAGAAGAAAATAAGCTTGTTAAAAAGATAAAGAACCATTTACCTCTTGCTGTGGTAGGTAGTAATACTATCATTGAAGTTTATGGCAAAAGAGTCAGAAGTTGAAAACGGTGAACACTGTGATTTTTACAGTTCTAAGAAATATGTTGATAAGGACACATATGCAAGACTTGAAAGATGTCACTACACTATGAGAACTACAGAAGCAGAAAGCTGGCAGCTGTGACTTATAATGGAGTTGACAACAACAAGAATAAAGGACATCTTACAAAGGGTCCTCTGGCACAAATGGAAGAGGAAAGGAGGGAGCATGTCGCTAAGATGAAGAAGATGGAGATGGAGCAGGTGTTTGAGATGAAGGTCAAAGAAAAAGTTCAGAAACGGAAAGATTCTGAAGCTGAGCTCCAATGGCGTCATGAGCAAATGAAAAAGAACTTGGAAGCACAGCACAAAGAATTAGAAGAAAAACGTCATCAGTTTGAGGATGAGAAAGCAAACTGGGAAGCTCAGCAGCATATATTAGAACAACAGAACTCTTTGGGAACCTTGGAAAAGAACAAGAAGAAAGTGAAGATCTTTTAAACCCCCCTCTATTGACCACCAGTTACGTATTAGTTGCCAATATGCCAGCTTGGACATCAGTGTTTGTTAAATCCGTTTGACCAATCTGCACCAGTTTTATCCATAATGATGGATTTAACAGCATGACAAAAATTATTTTTTTTGTTGTTGTTCCTGATGGAGATTAAGATGCCTTGAATTGTCTAAGGTTATCGCGTACTTAGAAAGTAACAACCCTAAGTACCTTTCCTACATTTTCCTTTTTTTTTTTGTTCGATTAAACAGATGTTTCAGTTTAATGCAAGAGAACATTCTACTGCTGTACAATCATGTTCTGGTGGTTTGATTGTTTACAGGATATCCAAAATAAAAGGACTCTGGAAGGTTTTCATTGAGGATAAATTACCATAATAGGATGCAAACTATGCTTCTCTATGATAATTATAATACAAAAGTTCCATTCAGTGCAGCGTATACAATGATGTAATTTAGTCTAACATAGTTGATCCTATTTTTGACACTTCCATTGATTAAAACCACATGGGGAAAAAAACTATATGCTTACAATGCACCTAGAGCTTTTTTATAGCAAACATTTTTTGTTTGTTTGGATTCTTTAAATATATATTATTCTCATTTAGTACCCTCTTTAGCCAAAATCTCATTATTGCTTCATTTTTGTAATAACGTTTCATTTAGATATTTTCTATATATTGGCCCTGCTAAAATAGACTATAGCATCTTTCATATG